GCAGAATGGTAGCTAAAACCTAAAAGTGCAGAAGGGAAAGCTATTAGATAAAGTTTGTTGAACTGTAGCTAAAAATTCCAAGTAGTAATAGGCCAGCCAACAGCTAAAAGTAGAAGATTGGTAGCTAAAAACTAAGAGTAAAAAGGCCTAGCTAAAAGCTAAAACTCGCAGAATGGTAGCTAAAACCTAAAAGTGCAGAAGGGAAAGTTATTAGCTAAAGTTTGCTGAACTGTAGCTAAAAGTTCCAAGTAGCAAAAGGGCAGCTAACAGCTAAAAGTAGCAGAAGAGAAGCTAAAAACTGAAAGTAGCAAAGCAATAGCTGACAGCTAAAAGCAGCAGAATGATGGCTAAAAAGTAAAAGCGGCACATAAAGGAACAAGCTTCCTGAAGTGATTTCAGTGAGAATCAATTAAAAAGGATGATCATGTTTTACAAAGTCCAGCTGGCTTTGGCGGCCATCTTGAATGTGATGGAAAAGTTTATCGGTTGTAGATGTACAGCCAGTAATTACTCTTAGATCAATGATTTATTAAATACTTTACTAACAGACAGACACAAATACATGATCACCCGCCTTCAGTCGTCGGTGACCAGCGATACCTAAGACAGAGGTTTGTGAATCGCGCAGCTGTAACGAGTTCGAGACTCTCCTGCTCTGATGAAATCAAGTTATGGATTATTTATTATCGCTGAAGGAACGGAGACGGGCCTGTAAACTGAGTCGGCTTGGTAAACAGGTCAAAGTCTGAATGCGCAACAACAAGCAGAGGGAGGCTGAGAAACATGAGCCGGAGCAGCTTTTGTCCTCTTTCGGCTGCTGAGCTCACATGACAGCTCAGGTTCTCAACACAAACACACACATATTTACAGAAAAAACATTGTCGCCTCGTTCTATTCGAGCCTTTTGGACTTCGCTCGAGTTCTGTTGTCCAGCGGTAAAATTTGATCCTACTTTTAGTTTCTTTTGCACATTTTTTTAAATCATATTTCTTTATAAACAATTTTTTAAAAAGACTAAGAAGCAGCCAATATGTCTCAAATTAAAGGTACTTAAGGCAAATTAAGAAGTCGAACACACAAAAAAGGTTCATCTTGATTTAAGCCAACTGGTTCAATTTGAAAGAGTTTTATTCCAGTGATTTTCCAGATGCACAATACTGAAATGCAGGTACGCATTCAATGTAAACAAAGCAGTTTTTTCTGCAAGCGGAGTGTAAATATGTAAGAATACATCAAAAACGTTGAACCTGAAGTTCTCGAACGGCTCTTGCACGGACGTTGCTATTGTTGACTTTTAGCTTATAGCTGCTAGCTATTAAAATGCTTAAGGCTAATTGTTGCGTCGGACGTTCAGAAATTTTGCTTACAAACAAATAAACAAGTTGTGCAGAGTTTATTTTTCAAATAAATATAATAATAATCTAAGAGCATATAGGTCACATGCAAAAAAAAAACCCTGCTAAAATACAAAAGTCAGTATTTTTTAAAATGACATATTTTAAATTGGAATGAATCAGAACGTCTGAAATGGACTGCTCAGATTTTCAGAAGTTAAAACTGACTTTGTTTCTTTTTTAACAGCTAAAACAGTCAAAAACACTAGCTAAAACCTAAAATACACAAATAAAAGCTTTGATTAAATTTAAGGAGTGGAAATCATAGAACGCCTGAAACGCTGCATCTCTCACAATACATGTGTTGCTAACTCTCAGCTACTACCACACCAAACTTCATCTTAATATTTGTAAAAGTGGCTGAATTTTAGCTAGTTTTGTGTCTCTTAAGGTCAGCCAGCTGTGGCGGCCATCTTGAACTGTGTTGACCCCAAAAGTTAATCAGCTGTAAACTTGCATTTAAATATGACTTCCTGGAAGTTTCATTAGAATCTTATCACCGCTTCATGAGTTATTTTGCTAACAGACCGGCCTTATCTCACGGTTCTTATTCGTAAGCCCACTTTGAGGCAGGTTTTAACAAGCTAAGCTAGGCGTGATTTTCAAATGAAACGGGCAGATTAGCTTGTTTGGAAGATGTTTTGTCGTTTTGTTTCCCCCCAGTTTGATGCTGAAGCAGGTGTTGGAGCATCTCTTAGGAAGAGGAGGGTCCTCCAGCATCCTTACCTCAGAGCCACGCGCACCGAGCTCTCATCCGATCCGCCGCTCATGATGTTGCCGAACCGGTCCACTTAGAAAAAAAAACAAAAAAAACCGCCGCTTTCCTTTTTCTTTATCCTCTTAAGACGACGGAGCCCCCTCCCCCCGCTCCTCTCACTGAACGGCTTCAATGTTCAGCTTCCGGCGGGGAAGACATTTTGATGCAATTTATCTCTATGCTGCTAAACATAAACGTCTTCCATGATGGCCGACCCGGCGGCGGTCACCTCACCAGCGACATCGTCTCGACCTCCTGTCCCGCGGGCAGAGTGAGCGGCGCGTGGGGGGGAAGAGCCGAGCAGGAGGCTCCTCCCACCGAGCTGTACCAATCTGACAGGGAGGAGGGGGGGGGTAAACAACAATGCGCGTGAAGGGTTACGGATTTTACCGAGAACGTAGATAGAATAACGTAATAAATAAATATTAACCACTTGAAAAAAAACAATTTGGGGTTTTTGATAGCGATTTTAATATTTTTGTTGTAATTTTTAAAGATTAAATAAAATAAAACTGTATGAAAAAGGAAGCTAAACTATGCTGCCCCCTGGTGTTGGAAAAAAGTCACTGCACCTAAAGCGCACCAGTAGCTATCCACCTGTTAGCGGTTTACCTGGATGACTACAGGTATTAACGAGCTGGATAACAAGCAGTAAGTGCAGTGATATATTATAGCTTGCAACTTGCTATCTAGTTAGCTACCTGGTTTTATTAGATATATTTAGTTAGACTATGCCTGGATATATTAGCTAGCTAACCAGGCAGCTAAATAAGTAGTTAGCCTAACAGCCAGGTAGGTAGCTAAATATCAAACTATAAGCTATAAAAAGCTAGCTAAAAGCTAAAAAGTCACAGAGCTTTAGCTAACTGGCCATTTAGGTAACATGCTACCTAGCAAATCCTTTAATTCAAGTTAAACTCCAGTAACATCATGACATTAGATAAACACAAAACTAAAATGTTAAACTAATGTCCTTTATGACACTAATTATGCACAATAAATAGTAATAATACAAGCAAGACAACAAATGTAATACACTAAAATAACTGAATGTCCATCGTAATACTAAATAAAGAAATTGGTAATACGCTTAAATGCATAAAATTATTATTTTTAAAATCAAGACATAATTCAATAAGCACTTTTAATTCATTGTAATGTAATATAAAAACACATTTAGGTTATTATATTAAAATATTTATTTGCATGTTATTTGTGACACTAAGTAATAACGCATTGAAAAACAACAACCGTTTAAAAACAAATATTTTAAACTCATTAAAAAGAAAAAAAAAAAGTACATTAGACTCAAACAATTATCTGAATTATCACTTTAATTGTAGAACCTGGCTGTTGGACTCGGCTGCACTTAAGTGGATAAATATCACTGCACGTCCAATGTAGGACTTAATTACTTTAATTCAACTAAAATTCTTTTTTTTTTAATTGAATGCAGACTAGTCCTGTGATGGACTGGAGACCCGTCCAGGGTGTACCCCGCCCCTCGCACAGTGATTGCTGGACAAGGGCCCCGGCGACCCCCGTGACCCAAAATGGAAGAAGCGGGTAAAAGATGATGAAAGGATGGATGAATGTAGACTATATTGTATCTTTGTAGGACTAATGCTCAAATCTTTGCTTTATAAAACACAATATCTTTTAAAAATAAGGGACTTTTTCCCATGAAAAAATAAATTCTTAATGTATCCAGATGGCTTTTCTCAGTTTTTAAAAACAATTTCAAACAAACACAGAGAAGATGAATATGTTGTTTGTACATAAGATTAAAGAGACGTTAACTTCTCTTAAATGTTCAGAATAAACCTTTAGGTTTTGCTTCTGTTAAAGGTCGGTTAAAAGCTAAAACAGTAGGGCAGCTAAAAGCTAAATGTGGCAAAATTTAAGCCATAAGTAGAAAAAGACTAGCTAAAAGTGGCAAAATGCTAGCTAGACAGTAAAAGTAGCAAAAGGCTGGCTTAAAGTGACAGAAAAGTCATTAAAAGCTAAATGTTGCAGAAAAGTAGCCAAAAAAGCTAAATATTACCCAGAAGCTATAATAATAAAAAGACTAGCTTGAGGCTAAAAGCAGAAAAAAATACTTAATGAAAGTGAACAGTAGCAATGCACTAGCTAAAAATAGCAAAACACTAGCTACAGACTAAAAGCTATAAAACTACTAAATCAGAACAAAAGATAAAAGTAACTAAAACCTAGCTAAAATTATTAAGAGGCTAGATAAAAGAAGCTGGCTTAAAGCTAAAGTAGCAAAAAAGTAATTAAAAGCCTAAAGTATCAAAAGGTTAGCAGGAAGCTAAAAGTATCATAAGGTTTGCTAAAATAACAGAACAGTAATTAAAAGCTAAATGTAGTAGAACAGTAGCTAAAAAAAAACCATTTGCTAAAAAGCAGCTAAAATTTGCAAATCATGGCTTAAAGCTAAATTATCAAAATGGTAGCTCAAAGCTAAAAGTAGCTGAACAGTAGCTAAAACTAAAAGCAGCTAAAAACAGGCGGCATTTCAATGAAATGTAAGATATCAATGCGTTTCTAAAGAGGAAAAACTGTAAATAAAGTTAAATATTTAGAAAAGTACAAAAGTTATAAAAACCAAGCATCGTAGCACCCGAGCTGAACGTTTTGACACACAAACGGTTAAAATACACTCAAGCAGTTACCAAACAAAGAAAACCATCAGTGTTTACACCTGTAGGAGAGAATAAATGATCTAAAGAGTCACATATTTGCTGAACTGACAGAAATGCTGCAACGTCGAGGAACAAAAACGAGACTAATCATTTTCCAAGTTTGCGCCATTTTTCTTTTATTTACAAGGAAAACGTTTTTCAACGCAAGGTGACGTTAGTACATGAGTTTTGACCCGATGAGCTGAAAGCTGCTTCCTGCAGCTCTCTTACAGTTAAAACAACTGATACAGGAGGTGAAGAGAAAAGTTACAGGCATTCAGAGAAGAAAAAATTATTTTATTAGGAGGTGTCTGAGAACTGACCCTGCAGTGAGTCCACGTGGCCAGTAGGGGGCAGCAGAAACAAGCTAAAGCTCACCTGTTAGAAAAGAGCTGAGGAGTATTCCTAAAAAACATCATCTCACCCTGTAAACACAAAATATGAGAAGGTACTGTGATTTTCCTGCTTCTGATTCCAGACTCTGTGTCATTCGGTGTCGTTTCCTCCCGTCAACACAGTCTGGGCAGAGAGCAGCACGTATTCCAGCGCAGCGTTAGTTCATGGGTAAAGATAGCGGTGCCTTTTCCGCGCTGAATCAAAGCTTTATTATATTTTTTTGCAGTCTAGATCGCGTAACATGCAGCAAGGGGCAGACAAGGTGCAGAAGTAAGTTTAAAGTGGCCATTTGAGTTTTTTTGTGGGAGTAAAAAAAGTCATCTTCCAGCAAACGTCACCAAGCTTTCACAAACTGATGCATCTACATTCACGACAGCGTCGCTAAGACACAGGAGAAAATCTACATTCTTGAATAATTTAAAACCAGCATTTATATGGACGTCTCTTAAATCGGGGGTCTGCAACCTTTGCAACCGAAACGAGACATTTCTGCAACTTCGACGTGAAATAAAATTAGTCCAGAGCTGCTAAAAGGTGCAAGTCCAACCCAGAAACACGTAGAACGTTGTGCGAAATGTAAATAAACACAGAAATCAGTGATCTGAAAACCTTATGAACCTATATTTTATTTACAGTGGAACACAGCAAACGCATCAGAGGCTTTTGGAAAGTAATTTAAAAAAAAATTTGGGCAGCAACACGTCTCAGGAAAGTTGAGCGGAGCTCCAAAAGGCTGTAAAAGTACAATCAGGAAACAAGTGGAGGAGAAATTTATAAATAATCAGATTAATTAGCATCAGGTCTTTGAGAGGACTGGGTGTAAAAGATGGGCAGAGGTTCACCAGTCTGTGGAAAACTGCACATGAAAGTAGTGGAAGATTTCTAGATGTTCCTCTAGGGCAGTGGTTCCAGACCCTGGTCCCTGAGGAACACCATCCTGCACGTTTGTTGGTTTTTTTTTTGCTCCGACACGCCAGATTCAGTGATTTAATCACTTCCATCAGTTCGACAGAAGCCCGTTAATCACCCTGTCATTCAAATCAGGTGTGTTGGAGCAGAGGAACAACTAAAACAAGCAGGATGGTGTTCCTCAGGGACCAGGGTTGGGCGCCACTGCTATTGGGGAAAATCTGCTGTTTTAAATCATTAAAAATGGACCGAGGCAAAGTAGAAAACGTGGACACCACATCCTCAGTGCTAAAGAGGAGATGGACCATTCAGCCTGCCTGTCTTATACTATGGGGGTGCATTAGTGCCTCTGGCATGGGCAGCTTACATATCTGGAGCGGCTCCACCAATGCAGAAACATATTTAGATTTTAGAACATCTGCTCCCATCCAGTAAAGAAGAGCCAGAACTGATGAAGTTAGGATCCTACATCAGACCAGAACGAGACGTTCTCCTCCAGAACCTGGTCCCCTCAGGTCCTGAACCTTTACAGACTGTTGCTAGAACATGGACCCGTTGCTGCCATCAAATTCAAAATTGTGTAATAACTTTTAAAAAGTACCATAATTTAGTTTGATCCGTTTACTGTGTTTTATTATGTATAAAAAAAAAAAAAACATACTTTATGAAAGTTTAAATCACGGCATTCTGTTTTTATTTACATTTTAACCAACGACCAAACTTAGTCCGAATCAGGGTTACTGTATAAAATAAATGGGTTAAAACTTGATTCTTTTGCACATTTTTCCACGTGAGGACAAAAAGTCAACTCGTTTTAGTCCTTATTTAAAACCACTTTGATCGAATGTAAACTCTGAGGGCAATTTAAATAATTTTTAATGTTTACATATTATTTTTATTAATAGGCATCTCAAATAGTAACATTAAAACGTAATAAGTAGAGTAAGAAATCTTTCTCATTATCTGAATGACTGGACGCATCATTCTACGTTTCACTGAATATATGATTCTGTTGAAGATTCTTACATAAATGCACTAAAAAATGTTGAATTTTATGGTGGAGTTCTCAGAAAGATAAAGATTTTATGACCGGAAGAGGAATTAATATTATTTATCAGATTATATTAACAGGAGAACTGCTAAAAATAGCTTTTTTGCTGTTATTGGGAGAATAAACGTTTTTTTCGTGTTCATTTTGATTAAAGCTACAAAAAGCTGCAGCGCCCCGTCTTCAAGGACTCGGACGTGTGGTGCCTGAAAAACAGCTGGTGTTTGTTTACGTTCTGCCACCTGAAGGATCTGATTGTCTTATTATACTTATAATATGACTTTAAACAGCATAAACTAAAGACCCTAAGCACAAAAACCCGACCGTAAGCAGGTCCCAGTGTCCACAGGAAAGATTCAAATCAAGCTTTAGAAGCGCGAGGCGAAGAGGAACCGTTGGGAGGATTTGGTTAAGGCAAAAGTTTCTCCTCCTGAACGGATTCATGCAGGTAAACAGGTTCGAACCGCAGAAAAACACGCTTTTAAAACCCGCTAGTTTCACCGATTCGTTTCCGATCGGCATCGGCGACTCGTGCAGGCCGTTATCAAAGTGGTTTCAGCATCCCAGAGGCAAAAAAAAAAAAAAAACACACTTTAAAAGGATGAAGGATTCGTCCGTGAGCGTTCAGGTTGTATTATACGTCCAAACAGCTACACACCAGCGTGTTTGGCGTCGACACGGTGCAGAGGCGTGTCTGACAAGTTACATCGTCTGAGCCTCCTCGTCTCGTTTGGTCAACGAACCAGGAACGGGACGTCTGGGAGGCGAATCGCTCTAAATACAGCCCTCAGCAGAGAAAAGGACCGCTCACGATCAAAAGCAAAGGTCATTTTGAACCTCTAGAAACTAAAACGTTGCTCCGTGTCGGAGGTGAGAACAACCGCGGCTCACCTGGAATACTGCTTTGGACATTAAAGTGGCTCTACAGCAGAAATATTCTCCTCGCTGGCGACCACGCGAACCTAAAGTGCTATAAAACCACAGAGGAAACAATCAGCTCGGTTAAATCAGGCTCTTCTACACTTAGAGGCTAAAACGGCTAAAAATAGAGCTGCACAATACTTGGACAACGTGTACGTGTGCACGGATACGGCCTCCGCCTGCGCGAACATACGAACATCGTCGTAATTCGGAGCGGAAACCCAAACCGACCGCGCTCCTCAACGTCGTCCACCGCGGGTCGCTGCGCACACCGATTTCGAGGTAGGTGCTAAGCTAACGCTTCAAAACTCTTCTGCAGTCTCTCCACGTGTTAATTACGAATACGCGTTGTTGTTTTCTTAACGTGACTATAAACGTTTACACTACAAGGTGTTTATTTCCCTTTAAATGGCGCCACCTTTGTAAGGAAAATGCATTTGTGGATTAGGCTCGTGAAAAATTGATCAAATCTTCTCTGCCACACCGTTTGTTCTGCGATCGACATGTTGCCGTTTCTTGGATTTAATGATTGAAGTCTCTGAAGAAACACGACGTATTGGCAATTTAACGATTAAGTGAACAAACTGGGGCTTTGAGGAGCATGTGGAAGAACCATACACAGCCACAACAATGCTTTTCTTCCTCGGGCACCATTTAAGCGGGAACGAAAGGCTTTCGAACGACATAAGATTAATTGCCGTGAAGTATCGTCGCATAAAACGAACAATTAACCTGATAAAAGTTTGACTTTTTGTGCGACGCTTGCTTCAGGTTTAATTCAACCGAGTTATTTTTTTGTTTGTTGTCGAAAGACTTTCCCGTTTATTCACCGGTGAATGGAAAAAACAAATCACTTGTTGGATCTGTATTTAGAGGTTATACTGTTAAGAAGCTTAACGGCATTTATTAGTACTTCTATCAGTACTCACTCAGTAATGAGGTGTTGATGCATCCCTAAAAACACGCAGTATTTTGTTGGACATGTGGATTATTCACGCTCACTGCGTTCTCCGTATCCTCTCAGCCGCAGTCCGACACAAACGCCTTCCTGTCGTGGAGTTTGTTTTGGTAAATAATCACGGTTCTTTATGATGTTCCCGTCACGTCAACGATCATTTTTCTACATATTGTGCAGCCCTAGTTAAAAATCCACAACTGAGAATACCGTCGGTGTGCGTTACAAGAGGGAGTCGTTGTACCCCCGCCCTCCCCCGCCCTCACTTCTCAGACAGCAGCAGGATAACCGAGGAGGGAGGAGACGACGTGGTTTACCAAGTGAGGCTCAGAGCAAAAAGAACGAAACTAACACCTAAAACAAAAAAACACGCTGCCTCTACACGTCTTTGACTTTCATTGCCTCCTCGACCCCCCCCCCGCGCCCCTCACTGTCACTCCTCGGCTGTTTTCAGGACCGAGTCGTCTCCCAGGATCTTGCAGAGCTCGTTGAGGCGATTCTGCATCTCGGGAATGCCGGCGAGCTGGGCCTCGAGCCGCTGCTTCTCCTCGGTGAGGGTGAGGCGCGTCGCCGAGTCCAGCTGCTCGAAGCGCCAGCCGCCCTCGCCGTCGAACTGCAGCAGGTGGGTGTGGTACTTCCTGCAGACGAAAGGAGCTAAAGTGAGGTTTGATTCACCTCCTTCTAGTCAAGCTAAACATGGTGGGAAAAAACTTGGGAAACTAGCTGTGAAGATTTTTGCTGAAAGCAGCTGAAGAACCTGAAACTGAGTTGTTAAAGCTAAAAGAAGCAGAACACTAGCTAAAAGCTAAAAGTAGCAGAACGCTAGCGAAAACACTAAAATTCTAGCTAAAGCTTAAAGACAGCAAATTGCATTATCTAATAGTTTAAAGTAGCAAAGCAATGGCTAAGTAGCAAAATGCTAGCTAAATGTGATAAATATTAGCGAAAAGTGGCAAAATGCTAGCTAGATGGCAAGTAGCAAAATGCTAGTTTTTTTCCCACACAAAATGCAAGCCAAAAGTAGTAAAACACTAACTGCAAAAAAAGTAGCAGAACACTAACAAAAGTGGCAAAATGTTAGCTAGATGGCAAGAAGCAAAATGACAGTCAAAAGGTAAATGTAGCGGTGTTAGCTTAAAGCTAAAAGTAGCAAACTACTAGCTTCTAAATAAAAGTAGCAGAACACTAAAAGTAGAAAAGCACTAGCTGCTAAAAAAAAATAGCAGGACACTAGCTAAAAGTGGCAAAATGCTAGCTAAAAGTAGAAAAATGCTAGCTAGATGTAAGTAGCAAAATGCTAGTCAAAAGACTAGCTAAAGAATAAAAGTAACAAAACACTTGATAAATGTGGCAACGACCAGCTGAATGCAATTAGTGAAATGCCAGTCAAAATGTAAAAGTAGCTAATTGTCAGCTTTAAGCTAAAACTAGCTAAATTTGAGCTAAGAGTAGCTAAGCGCTAGTTAAGCACTAAGCAAAAAATGAGCTAAAAGTACAAAAATGCAAGCTAAACTGAAACCAGCAAGCAACAAACGAGCTAAAAACTGAGTTGTTAAAGCTAAAAGTAGCAGAACACTAGCTAAAAAGAGCAAAACCCAAGCTAAAAGAATTACAATGCTAGAGAAAAGCACTAAAATGTTAGCTAAAGCTTAAAAATAGCAAACTACATTATCTCATAGTTAAAACTAGGAACACAATGGCTAAGTAGCAAACGATAAAATGCAAAATGTTAGCTAAAAGTGACAAAATGCCAAAATGTAGCAAACGTATAGCTAAAATTTTAATGTAGTTAAACACTAAATGAAAGCAGCACAATGTTAGCTAAAAGCAGCAAAACACTAGCTAATAAATAAAAGTAGCAGAACACTCACTAAAAGTAGAAAAGCACTAACTGCTAAAAAGGTAGCAGGACACTAAAGTGGGAAAATGCTAGCTAAAAGTAGCAAAATGCTAGTCAAGAGGTAAAAGTAGCGAAGTGCTAGCTTAAATTTAAGAGTAGCAAAACACTAGCTAATACATAAAAGTGGAAAAAAATGTTAACTATGGCAAAGACCAGCTGAAGGGCAATTAGTCAAATGTCAGTCAAAAAATAAAAGTAGCTAAATGTTAGCTTTAAGCTAAAACTAGCTAAATTTGATCTAAAAAATAGCAAAGCGCTAGTTAAGCGCTATGCAAAAATGATCAAAAAGTACAAAAATACAAGCTAAACATTCAAAGAAGCAACAAACGATGTAAAACCTAAAAAGTTGCAAAAGGTTAACTAAAAGATAATAGCAGAAATGTAGCTAAAAGCTAAAAGTAGCACAAAAAGACAAAAACGGAGCCAATTTGCTGAAAAGTATTAGAAAGCTCAAAGCATTTCTATGGGGACAATCTTTTTAATTAAGGTAAATATTTTGAAAAGTATGATCGTTAAAAAAAAAAACCGAACATGGTGACATTTAAATGGGTAAAACAGGTCAAAGGATGCAGAAGAGAGGAAAGAGTAAAGAGAAACAGGATGGCTGTGCTGTCTTACCACAGGGAGGGTCGGTGGGTGATGGAGAGCAAGGAGATGTCGGCATCCTTGGCAGCCTGAAAAATCTTCCCCTCCACATCGATGCTCACGGCGCTCGTGCACTCGTCCAGCAGAGCATATTTAGGCCTTGAACACAGAGAGGAAGCATTTTTAATCATTGGGTCATTTTGACCCAAGGGCAGCAGGAGGGTGAAAATGAGAACGAGGCTGTTCCTTCTTACTTATGGTAAAACATGCGAGCCATGCCCATCCTCTGCTTCTCGCCTCCGGACAGAACATCTTTCCAGTCCAGCTCAGCGTCCCAGCCTGGATGACAAAAAAAGGCTTTTTTTTTTTTTTTTTTACCATTTTGTCATTTTATTATAAAAACATAACATATTTTCCTAAAATCCACACTTCTTCCTGTTTATCTGAAGATAAATTAGGATGAATTCGGTCGGGCCGACTTCAATGACGTGTTTTGGGTGTTGCCGTACCTCCCTCTCTGGTGACGATGTGATTAAGGTTGACTATGTCCAAGATGGCCTCCAGGTCTTGGTCACCGAGGCCTCTGGCGGCCATGTCCTCCATGGAGTCTGGGTAGATCACCTGGTCTCGCAGCGTCCCCACCGACATGTACGGCCTGGAGAAACGCACGCTCATCATCAAAAACGCAGGGAAACTTTCACACACGCTGAAAGAAAAAGACTTTCTTCCTGTTTCAGTGAACGTGTCAGATTCTGTTACAGAACCCAGACGGCCGTCTCGCCCCGAGCATTAAATATTCACTGCTCCGCAGGACGGAGTCAGCAGCAGCTCCGAGCTTCGTTACATTAAAAAGACTTGATCCGGTTCAGTTTAGGACCACCGGAGCGGCTTTAGTTTAGTGAGGACCAACGGTTCTCATAGATGAGGTTGGGGACGGGAGTTGTTAACAGGTTGGGGTTCCTATAGCACAATATAACCCAGAGATAAAAACATTTAAAATAATAATAGTTGACAAGTCTTTTTGTAAACTTCTACAAGTATCTGTCACTTTAATTTTAAGGGTTGAAAGCTGAACAAGTTTGAGAATCAAGAAACAAGACGGCAGTTTTTACTTTTTTTTTTTTTTTACATTTTAATTTAAATCAGTTTTTATCCTCTCATTATTAAAGTTTAGTTGATCGCTGTATTTTTGAGAACATTGGCGAACAAGTAAAACTAGAAAGTTCCTGGAGAAACTTTGACAGGGACGGCCACGCTGCTGCTGCTGCCAATGTAAAAAGTTTTGATAAAGTTTTTGTTGTTTTGAGTACTATGTGTTGGGGTTCGCTCTCAGCTACCATCACACCAAATTTCAGTTCAATATGGCAAAAATTCATTTTTCTTTTAGCCGATGCATCCATCTTGTATTTTTGATTTATTCAGTATGTGATAGGGAATGTTCTCAGCTATAACCTCAACAAATTTCAGGCCTGTATGTGTAAAAATGGCGGAGTTAATCCATTTAAAAGTAGCGTTGGTGGCCATCTTGGATTTTTGATTTTGATGAGCATTTTATGGGAAACATTTTCAGCTATTATTACACCAAAATTCAGCTCAATATCACTAAAACTGACTGATTTATACTATTTTTCCTTTCTTGCTCAGGCGGCCATCTTGGATTTTTGATTTTCCACCAGAATCTATTAGGGATCGTTCTCAACTACCAATACGCCAAATTTCAGCTCTAAAGCTCTAAACACGGCTGAGTTACGCTTGTTTTTCCCTTATAGCTAAGGCGGCCATCTTGGATATTTGATTTGCATTAGGAATGTATAACAACTCGCTTTCAGCTACAACCATACTAAATTTCAGCTCAATATCTCAAAGAATGACTGAGTTATATTCAATTTTGTGTTTGCTGAGTTAGCTGTGGCAGCCATCTTGAATCAAAATGGCTCCCAATGTTAATCAGTTCTACAGATACATGTGATGATCACTTCGTGTGAGTTTCAAACAAATCCAACAGTAAGTTTCTAAGATTTCTTCAGGGACTTCTACACAAGTCCTGTGACCTCGCAGCAGCAGTTAGCGTGAGGAGTGTTCTGTTAGTCTGGAATAATGGCGCCTTTGTTTGCAAATTACGTCGCCGTGGTAACTCGAAATGCCAATAAAAGGAATAGCATACATCACAGTGCCGCGCTGGTCGTTTTGATATAACATTTGTGGGGGTACGCGTTGCAGTTCTGGCCGCATTAAAGTTGACGGAAGAGTAAGTTATAAAGTTAAGAAACCCTTGTCAGGTGGATAATAATAGGTACTGCAGTACTCAAAAAAGTACATTTTTATGTAGAATCACTAGTCAAAATACTTGTTTTTAAGCTGTTATTGTCAACTTTGTCGCCGCCTGCTGGCCTGGCATGGATATTTCTGCTTTTTTGGGGGGGATTTATTTCTCTCCTCTGGGCAGAACATCCTGTAACTTTATGACAAAAAATAAAAATTAGAAACACACAAAACTTTAGTGGGCAACAAAGGAATCATTCGGCCTTTTGATTTGTTTACGTCTATACTATACATGTAAAACTTCATTTTCCCCTCTTTTAGCCGTTTCAATTTAAGCTGTTTATAATTTACAAGGCACCAAATATTTACTGTAACTTGGGTTTGCTTTTGCTCGATCCTCTGAAGCTTCAGCTGATTTTATGCAACATCGGCTGTAAAAACTGCGCAGTAAATATTTCACTCCACCTGGAGCTCTGGTATCTCTCACGAGGGGCTCGTTACGACGGATTAGATTACGGAGACGGTTCAGGAGTACCGCTATCAAGCCACGCCGGCGCTGACTATGAGGAGTGTGCGTTTGCATGCGTGTACCGCTGAGGGATGTAGAACATGTGCTCTGGAGAGGGTTTGTGTAGCCGGCCACCGTAGACCGGCCACAAGCCGCTGAGGATCCTGAACAGAGAGCTTTTCCCACAACCGTTTGGTCCTGTGATCAACAGGTGCATCCCTTCTTCCACCTGAGCGGGGGAGATTTTAAACGTTAGCACAACAAAGTCTCCATTTTTATCATATTATCAACCAGAAAAAAAACATGAAATGCAACTTTAACAAGGTGAAGGTTTTGAAAATCCCCATTCACATAAACCGCCATGACGTTTCGCTTCGTGATCCATTTTAGGTGCCGGGCTGTGACGGTTAAGACGAGCTGGCGACTCAAGATTGTAAGAAAAGAGGCAACTTTTCGGTTTTCATTCATTTGAACACTACCATTTTCAGCCACCAGATGGCACTCTAGTAGTATGGCATGCTGTTGTGTCATGTAATGGGTAAAAGTGGCTATTAATGACATGATTAATCAGCTTCATTTTACCGCACCGCTCCGGTGAAATGAAGCTGATTTGACCCTCAAAGTGCATTTATTAAGTAAAAGTTTAACCGAGACACACATTTACTATAATGTCGAACAAACAAATGATGGCTTTTAAGTGTTAATCTTGTTAAATTCTTGTTAAAAGTCCCGCAGCCGCCATTTGGCAGCCAATCGATTTTTGGCACACCAGCCCACATTTCTGGGTTGTCAGCGGTGACGCATAATAGATGCGACTTATACGGCGAAGCGACATACTTATGGATTTTTCCACTTTACGAGACATATTTGGACTGATGCGACTTATACGGCGGAAAATACGGTACTAGAGTTTACTGAAACTAAATCGAGGAGAGTTTGAGACTCCTGCAACGAAAAGAAAAACACAAATACCAAGAATGCTTTGAGACACGATGGTGAGTTACGGCTGGATTAGCCGTTAGCATGTCAATTTAAAATGAGCTATTTACAACAGGTAAGATATTAACTGTTTATAAGCTCTCCACTGAAAATAATCTGAAGTTTTTACGATTCTGAAGCCACGGATCAAAAAAATCCTCTTCTCATCCATGCAATAACACATTTAGTGCTCCGAAAAGTGAATCAACGCAAACTAAACAGTATTTTTTTTAATCTAAGGAGGTTTTTTTTTCTTTTCTAAATTAGATCATTCCATCCAAGTCCTGCTTACATGACGGTTTAGCTAACGCGTTGTTCTGAGCAGACGTTTCTTGAAAGGCGTGTGTCGTGTTATTAGCAAACTTATCAAGTTAACTCAGATTTCCAGATACGAGGAGCAAAGTTCTCTTTTATGTTTAAGGGAACAGAGCGTGCGGGGCGGTGAGGGGGAGATGAACATCAACAAACACCAGAATCCTCGGAGGGTTTCATGACCCGTCAGGCCGAGCGCTACATAAAGCAATCAGGGTAAAAAGACGGCGGCTGCCTCGCCTTTAAGTTCAGGCACGACACGACGACGTCCCCGTTGGGTGTGATGATCGGGACGTTCTCGCACACGATCCCCTGGTCGACGTCGATCACCTCGCCTGCAGCGAACGCAAGGAAATCAAAGCATTTGAATCATTAAAAATAAAAATAAAAACTTTACATGGCTGTGAAATAGTCGTCTTTGTGTATGTTTGAACGTAACTTTTATTAGAAACGTAAGCGGTTTCAAACCTGGATAGAAAAGGGACTGACGACCTATTTTTCCTTATTATTATTATTATTATTCCTTCCTATCTTTTATTATATCGATCAGACTTTTTAAGGTTTTAGCAACTGCAAGCCTACTATAATAAGAATTGTAATGAACTAGACTTATCAACGATTGAGCTTGGATTTTAAAAAAAATCTAAGGCAGGCCCATACATCTATAATAAACAAAGCTATTTCCAAAAATATACAATATACTAATGCAGGCTAAAAAGGTAGACACGCTGCATATAAAGGGAAGATGGGAACAAGAATCAGAAATAGAAATAACAGAGGAATGGGAGAATATTTGTAGTTTCCAGTGGTCCTCAAGGAGCTCGCTGTGGTGGAGGGAACACTGTTGGAAAAATATTATAAGGTATTTTAAAACACCATATCAAAGCTGAATTATGTATTTAAAATTCAAATACAACAAAGTTTTCGGACTTTGTATTTGGGACAGGGGATAAAATTAGCCAACGGGGATGATGTAAAATTGTTAAAGGCACTTATTTATTTATATATTTACATTTCCTCTCTTAAAGGTGTGTTTTCTATACGTAATACATGATTCAGGTGTTTGAGTTTCTATGTAAGGAATCATTGGATTCCTACATTTATTTAATAATGTTCTTTTCTCCACCCCCCCCCCCTTTTTTATTTATTTATTTTTATTCCCCCCCCTCCTCCGTAGTTTTGTTATTTATGTTTAAAAATGAAAATTGGGAAGGGTTGTGAAGTAAAGTTGTTATATTGCAATGTTATTGTAACTACCTATTCCATTGACGAAAATAAATAAAAATAAAAAGAAATGTAGCAAATAAAAGCTTTTCATGCGTTTCTTTAAACGGTTTAGAGAAAATAGAACAAATTGTGGATTTAATCTTACTTTTTTGATCCAAGCTGTTTCCACAAATCCACAATATTTAATTTCCCTGATGTGACAGTTCAGCTCTTTACAGTTTGAGCGGAAAGGCTATGAACAGTTAATATCTTACCTGTTGTAGATAGCTCTGTTTAAAAGGGAGGATTTAATCTGACTGGATTGATGAGCTCACGGAGATCAAAGTAGACTCTTGTCGTTTGGAAGCGACAACTAAATTTCACATTGGTTTAAACAAACATTTCTCCCGCAGAGATAATAATAATAATATATATTATCTCTGCCAAAAGACCAAATATACAAAATGCAAACAAAGCAAGGTTTACAAAGTTTTAAAACGGAAGCAATCCACTTTAATCTGTGTCTGTCTCGCATAAATTAGCTCATCAATCTCGTCAGATTTAAACTACAATTTTTCAAACCGAGTCATTACAAAAAGTTACCCTCAACAGGTAGGATATTTATTGTTCATAACGCTTTTTTCCCCCTTCAAAATAATTTAAAGCACGCTAAGTGAGCATAGTTAAAAGCTTTAAAGGAAGTGAATGATTAAATATTTTCGATAAAACAAAATAAATATAACAATTAGTATAATAGAAGCTAAAGACGAGTGAAGCCACGTTTCTAACAATATTATTAAAAACGTTTTAAAAAATTGAGGTAAAAAGAAGTTAGGCAAAACGCATTTTCTAATAACCAAAAACTGATATTAATTAATTTGAACTCAGTTTGAATATTTGATAACTTTAGACAAATAAACACGTTAAGCAAATGAACCAAAAAGGTTTGAATAAAAGTTTAAACGTGCAAAACTAACGATACATTTTTTTACCGTTTAAAGAAATTATCCCGTTTATTTTACACACAGGCCCAAAACCGTTTTACGCCAAAAAAATGTATTTTATTAATTAATTATTAACACAAAATTTCACAGACTACTTGTTGATTGTTGTTTAAATATATATATATTTTACTTTTAAACTTAAACTGGATATTAAAATCAAACTATTTTTAATTTTATATTTGTATTTTCTGGATGTTTTGGGCTCACGGGAGTGTTTACGGCAGAACCGACCCTTTATCTCCAGCGGCCCGTCGATGTGCAGCTCCGGTTTGTTCTTCTTCTGCGTCCCCGCGGTCGCCGACAGCGAGGAGCGCTTGTACACCCCCTTCTGGACGTCCTCGAACACCACGAACATGTTGTGGACCCTCGCAGTGTAGCCCGCCAACTCCGTGACCTGCGGCGACAAACACAAACACAAGGAGGGGTCAAAGGTCGCGCCGTTACAAAGACATGTCAAGGTGACCGGGTGGATCGCTGAGCGAGCTCTAACTCCTGTCGAGGGGTGCGAGCGCACGTTCACTCTTTAGGTGAATGCACGTTGCCCGCCAGCTTCAATGCTTGACTTTTAAAAGAGCCGAATGTTTGTGCAGACGACCGGAGGTCTCCTCGTCCATCCCTGCGGGACGCCCCCAGGCTGTTGACGCAGCTTGAGTTTATTAAACAGGCCGAGGTTCTGAGAATCCACAGAGCCGATGCAGATTCGACCGCCTCGTGTTCTTTCACCGAGTCACGTTGGAGCGGGTCCGCCGGCCGACCGCCCAAGTTCAAGAGCATGAAAGTGGAGTTCAGAGCGGGAGTTTATCTGCCCCGTCAGAGAGCGGGTCGAGTCAACATTCAGCTTTCATTCCTTATCTGCTCTTTATCTGAGGGAAAACTCTGCAGGCTTTGTGTTTTAGCTGTTTGTCAAAACCTTCGGCTCGTTCAGGAGATGGACTTTTAGGTTTTAAAACTTTTGTACTTTCAGATTTAATTTAAAAATATTTTCCTCACAGAATTACACGGTTCTTCAGTTCATTCAAAAACGTTGTTCTCGTTAAAATCTGCTTTGACTTAGCTTTTAGCTCCTGTTTTGCTGCTTTTAGCTAGGTTTATGTTCATTTCAGCCTCTTGTGAAACTTAACCTTTTAGTTTCAAGGTTTGATACTTCAGATAAATTTTCTATAATTAGCTAGTGTTTTGCTTCGTTTAGCTTCCAGTTAGCATCTTGATGCTTTAAGCTTATATCTAACCTTTTGTAACCTTTAGCATCTATTTAGTTTTATTTTTAGCTTTGCTACTTTTAACATTCAGCTAGCCTTTTTGTTACTTTTAGCTTGTCTTTTGTTAATTTTAACTGTTTGTTAATTTTGGATAGTCTATTTCTACTGTTAGCTTCTAGCTAGCCTTTTATTACTGTACTTTAGCTGACATTTTCCTACTTTTAGTTAGGTTACTTTTGTTTAGCTGCTAACTAGTAATTCTTTACTTTTAGCTGTTTTTTTTCGTCTACTTTTGACTAGTTTTTGTTCCATTTAGCTTTTAGCTAGCCTTTAGCTACATTTGGGTAACATTTGTTTAGTGTTAGTTTTTGTTCCATTTAGCTTTTAGCTAGCCTTTTAGTTAACCTTTAGCTACTTTTAGTGAGTCTTATTTCATTTAGCTTTGTGCAAACCTAATAATTTAGCTAGCCTTAGCTTACTGCTAATGTTTACCTAGTCTTTCTACTTTTAGCTAGCCTTTTCAGTATTTAGCTTTATTGTTCTGTTTCTTTAGCTTTAGGGAAGCTAAGCTTCGGCTTTTTCAGCAGATTTCGGTGGTCGTTCAGGGCACGTTTTAAAGCTCAAGTTTTGATCATTTTCCCTCCCGTGGTATCAAACCTTGGATCTCATCTCGTTTCTCCAGCATTAGTAATAAAACTGAACTTCCAGTTCTCCGAGGAGCTGCAGTCTGCTCATCATCATTTCACGTAGCTTGGACAAGATTAGAAGCAGACCAGGAAGTGGGCAAGATTCAGCAGGAAGACATTTCTTCGGCAAGGCGAGACTGTAAACAATCAGACGTTCTGAAAAGTACAACGTAGGTTTATTTAAACGGAGTTCATGAGCGAGAGGGAAAGTAAGAGGAGGTGCAGAAAGATCAACAGATGGTGGATTATTCACAGCAAGCCTAAGCTCTGCACACACCGGCAGGCTTGATGGTCATCAGTGAGGTTTTATTAAAGATTTGACTAATATAAAAGGTCAAACTGTCCCCCGTGTCTTTGGATAATCCAGTAAATCAGGGGTGCCCAATACGTTGATCGCGAAGGTATTATGGGTAGATCGCATGGCATTAAAAAATTAGAAGTCAACCAATCATGAGATCATGAGATTTGACACTTGACTGACATACAGGGCAGCCAGTCGGAGGCCCCGTTTACTAGGCCTGTCACGATAACAAATTTTGCTGGGTGATTAATCGTCTCAGAAATTATTGCGATAAACGATAATATTGTTTGAAATTTGACAATAATTAGTAATTATTGTCAAATTTAAGAAGAAATGTTGGTTAATTTTATTTTGAGTGTAGTACCTTTATTGTCCACTGGATGGCAGTATAAGGCTGTTTGAACCGAAGGATGGATAGTGAGGGAGCGAGCAGCGTGTCTCTTTAAGAAAAACGGGAGGGAGGCCCCTTGACGTGACATGGGCGGTCTCTCCTTCCTGTTTTCTGTTGTCAAAATGGCGGACGCTCGGTGTGGTTTGAGCTCTTTAGCACAGCATTGTTTACACAAAGCTTTTAATAAATAAAAAAAAATCAGTGAACAAGTTCTCAGCTTCTTTTTGCAGAGAAAAACAACTTTTTAGACGAAGGCACGGGTTTCAACCGTGAATTTTGGAGCTTTGACAAGACTGAGATGTTTTTCCCCCCCAAGATCAGCCTGTTAGCTTAACTCTTAGCTTAACTTCTCAGCTTAGCTGCTTTTAATGATCCAAAAACGCGATTTTGGACGATTAAAACTAATTTTAAACAGAAAAGAGAAAGGGAGGAGTCGGTGAAGAGAACCGGAGTTGATCTTTTTGTCATCCAGTGTCTTCAGTAGAAAGAGAGACACGAAGAACCGATAAAGCCGATAAATGAAAGAGGTCGATAATTTTCATTCATCATGCGATTAATTGATTTATTGCGACCGGCTTACCGTTTGCATGACGTGAAACGTTCGTCCGCTCATTTGCAGCAGCCCTCATTCTCTCTGAAACTGAAGGTTTCTGAATCCAGGTCTCAGACTGGAGGTTTTCCAGGGAAAAGTGAGGTGTGAAATGCTGCAAGTGTGGAGGGGCACATGTGCAGTCCAGTGTTTTTCTGCTCTAACAACAGTTATAATAAACGACAGAGAGCAGAGTGTTTTCGTGCTGCTCAGCCTTTTTCAGCATGTAGGAGCAAAACTAATAAAATCCAGTTCCAAAGAGACGTTAGTGTGTTCACCAGTTTGGACGTAACTGTCGTGCAGACGCCGCATTTGCAACGAGGGTTGCCAGATAAATTTAAAATGTTTTATTTACCACCTCTTTTTCTGTGCACATGTTCAACAAACAACACACACATCATCTTAGAACATCTTTACTCAGCACATATGACAGTTCAGCTCGGAATACTATCATTTTAAAGCCACAGTACTATAGTTCATAATTTCTTATCTGGCAACCCGACTGACATGGAAACTACAGTGTTTTTTTTTTTTATTACCCTCAATAACCATTGAAAAAAAAACAGTTTCTAGAGGTTGTTCTGTGTAAACGGGGCTGTAGATCACTTTGGTCATTTTAAAAGTACCAGTAGCTCACATGATGAAAAAGTGTGGATTAATCTGGAATTAGTAGCAGGAACACGCTGGTACGAACAGCACGGCTCTGGTCTGCAGCAGGTTTTACTTCCTGTTGCTGTTTGGATACAAAACGTTCTGAGAAAATATAAAAATAAAGCCTACGCTGCGTCGTGGTAGAACTTCTGGGTCAGATTTGTTTGGATTGAGAATATTAAATTTATAAAACTGCAAACAGTGCTGAAAATAATCTGCTGTGAACATAAATAGAGCCGAGATTTGAGGGAAAGCTAGCTGATTAGGTAAGTGCGAGTCGTTCACACCACCTCAGGAATGTGCTCCGTCCCTCGGTCCGTGCACGCAGGGGCTTGCTGCTCCGCCATCTTTACCCAGAACTCCGCCGCCACTCAGAACCGGAGCTCGCCTGCCTCCTCACCACAAAACAACAAGGCTGGACAACAGGAGGATGACGAATCACCGGAGAATGGATTATAATCTAGAAAGCCTGCTCAGACTCGGGTCGTGTGACACAGAACAAACCACCCGTACTGGTTTCAGTTCCACCTCTTGACCACAGACACTTAACTGTTTCACAGATTAACGCTCTGAACTCAAACTTGTGCTGGATGCAGCCAAACGAAGAAAATTAAAAAACTTAATCTGTGTTTTTAATGAAAATGAACAAAAAATAAATAAATCACAGATTCATCCTTCACGTATTCACCGATTTATTTATTTGCTTTTTAAAGCAGCTAAGGTCTAATTTATGTCATGAAAACACTGATATCCCCTGAAATTTGTGTAAAAATTAGTCCACAAAACACAATCCAAACTAAAACAGAAGATTTTTTTTCGGTCCAGGGAGTTGAACCGGCGACCTTCCGATCACAGACCCACCTTCTCTAACCTCTGCGCCACCACTCACTTAACTAAAACAGCAATCTTCCTAATCCACTTTAATTTGCTAATCCACCTTAATTTGAAGTTTTCCAACAGAAGCAATCCTTTTATTTTCTATTTGTCTCTGCCTGCTGCCGCAGCCCCTGGAAATCCCTTCGTATAAAACGTCGCATTTGACTCTTTTAATGGGCTAATGAAATCCCTGTCATCTACACGTAAGACGAATTTAAACAATTACCTCCTGAGAGTTTCTTTTAAATCTGCTGGTTCGAGATATTTTGCTAACAGACATGCAGTTACATTATTGCCCATCTTTCAAGGCAGCGGGGAAATAAACATACTACCGTACTTGCCGCCGTCTAAGTCACATCAGTCCAAATATTTCTAATAAAGTGGAAAAAACAAATGCATCGCTTTGCTGTATAAGTCGCAGGCATGCTAATTTATGCTAAAAAACTGTGACTTATAATTAGCGAAAATTATGTTAATATTTTTAGATGATTCTACTTTACATCACTTTTGTCTTGTGTCATAACCCTCCTGCTGCCCTTGGGTTAAAACCACCCAGGAGGCCTCACTGATTGACCCAAAGGCAGCAGGAGGGTTACAATATTATTCTCAATAAAATGTACTTACTACTTTCTAATGTTGTTTTACTGAGCATGACATCATTAAATAAGTTACAACAGGTTCATGTTTTCGTTCAAACAACAACTAAATAGTCTCTGGAAGTTACTTTGATCCAAACTGATCGGTTAGAAACTTCCAAAGAGGCGAAACCCGCGACATGAAGTCTCTTCGTCACGTGGACACAGAGAGGCGATCGTCTTAAATCACAAGCTTGAGCGCTAAACTCGTGGAAATGAACGTCGAAGATAACGTTTGAGGCACCGCCCGTCAGAACCAGTCCATCGTGCCGACTCTTGTAAACTGATTTAAAGGTTCGTTTTGCAGTAAATAAACAGCCGTCACCGTGTGTGTGTGTGAGTGTGTGTGTGTAATATTCAAATGAGTCACTTTTTATTTATTTGTTTGGTTGTTTTTGGAAGCTAGCTGTAGCCTGGTGCACTTCCTGCAAACTGATGCCATCATTCATTCAACCTTTACTTATACAGGTTAATCCCATTGAATAATGGGATTAAAATGGGATAAAATCCCACTTTTGAATAATGTTTTCGCTTGAAATGCAAGTCGTCGTTAGAGGGTCTCATTCACGAGAAGCTATGTTACGATCGGACACTAAAATGGCTAAAACTCGGTCAGTTTTATGAATATTGAGCTAAAATCGAGCGTGGAAGTAGACGAGACGTTCTCAATACATGGCGCTCGTATGTGACATCGCTCATGAAGTAATCTCTGAGGTCTGATCACCGTCTTTCAACATGAGATGTTTGAAACTCTGGTAAGGAAGGTGGCGGGCGATATGCATTCCCTCAAGGACTAGTTACGTTTTAATAACAGTGTTGTGCACAAACATGTCAAGAGTTGGTTTATAAAAGACAAACTTCTCCAGTGGTTCCCAACCCTGGTCCCTGAGGAACACCATCCTGCATAATTCCAGTGGTTCCCAACAGTGGTCCCTGAGGAACACCATCCTGCAGATTTTATTTGTTCCTCTGCTCCAACACACCTGATTTGAATGAACAGGCTTCTGCCGAACTTCAGGAAGTAATTAAACCACTGAATCAGGTGTGTTGGAGCAGAGAAACAACTACAACATGCAGTATGGTGTTCCTCAGGGACTACTGTTGGGAACCACTGCATTAAACTACGACAACAAATCACGCAGCGCTCAGACCTCTTTGTAGGAGGACATGATCCTCTCGATGGCATCGGCTCCTGAGGCCAGGAGGTTCCTGGCGGTGGTGAACGCCTCCGTCCTCTCGCTCACCATCATCTGAGCCTGTCCGGTCCCCGTCTCTGCAGACAGACAGGCGGTCCGTAAATACACAAACAACGCACAGGCGCAAACAAACCACAAACAGACAAACTCCCCACCGCCGTCTGCGAAGCCGGTGGCGGTGATGATGGGCACGGCCACCATGACGAGCCCGCTGGCGCTCCACACGTACTTCATGAGGAACTGCTCGATCATGATGTACCAGAGACGCTTGGACAGGATCAGGTTCATCTGCTCCGCCAGGGCCCGGTAGCACTTCTGCAGCTGACGCATCTCCACCTGCAACAACGCACAACGGCTGTGACTTTGAAAAAGACGATGGGAGCAGCATTCAATGGCGCCTTGCAATGTGTAAGCCGCCCATATCAGAGGCACTAATGCACCCCAATACCATGAGAGAGGCAGGCCTTTGAACTGTGTGCTGGTAGCAGGCTGGATCTCTTTAACAGAGGACATAATGTTCATGGTTTCCTCTACAAAGACCTTCTGACAGGTTGCCTGTCACCCTATTTAGATTGAAACGCTCCTACAGATGTTTCTTACGTTTACGCCCGTGTCCCAACGTTTTGGAGATGTGTGGCAGGCACTGATGTGAAGTCTGTTTACCTTGTGCCCTCTGTAGAAAGCGATCTCCTCAGCGTTGGCAATGATCCTGGAGTGCACATACCGCAGGTAGCCCTTCTTGTGCGCCTCCTCGGCCACCAGAGTCCCGAATCTGGGCGAGCATGCCCGCAGGACCTTAGCCGTGGCAAAGACCACCAGCCCTGCCAGCAGGGTGGGTCCGCGGGCGTTGGCTCCCCTGGTCCTGGCGGTCTGGATCAAGGTGTAGGAGGTCAACACCACGTCCAGGATGGGCTTGGTGAGATTGGAGTACAGGTGGGCCACGGACTGGGAGAACATCATCACATCCTCGGTGAGAGACTGGTCCGGGTTGGCCAGCCTCCCGTCCATGTTGCTGACTTTGTAGTAGGTCTGATCGGTGAAGTAGGTCCGGTAGGCATGGTTCACCAGCCGGGTCCGGAAGGCCAGCGCCAGCTTGCACTCCAGGTACCGGATGGCGCTGTTGACGAACGTGGCCGGGATGGCGATGAGGAGCCACTTGATGAGCTGCAGGACGAAGCGCCGGGGCTTCTTCTCCACGATGGTCTTCACGATCTTCCCGTCCAAGCTGGCCACGTAAATGGACAGAAACGTCCTGGAGACCAGCGCCACGGAGTGCAAGCAGAGCAGAACCAGCTCCCTGGAAACGAGCCGGGGGAACAGGATTTTACCGAGCTCGAAGATCTGCTTGAAGAAGTCCGCGTTCACGCCGAGGGGTGCTTTCTTATCGCCCGCGGCGTCCGCCTGGGTTTCCCCCGCGCACGCGGATCCGTTCTCCGCCTTTGGACCCCGGCGACTGTCGGTTTTGTTCCCGCAGAGCTGCTTCCAGATGACGGGGTACAGCGTCCTGACGCCGTAAGCGGCGGCTGCGAGAAACACAGCCCGCTTCGCCGCGGCCGTGCGGTCCCATTTCACCCGGGACGCCGCACCGATGATGTTGGACATTTTCATTCACTTTCAGACGTTAATGGCCTCCGCGAACAGTCCGTATGAGACCCATCCCCCAGAACCGGGTCACCGCGTCGACGTTTTCGGAGAAGAGGCTTGGGACGGCTGTAGGTAGCAGCGAGTACCGCTACATTCTGCTGCCTTTACCGAAATGAAGTTACGTAACTTTAAAAGGCTTTTCCGGTGACCAGTATCAAAATAAAAGACATGCTACCCACTACAGGGCAGCCAGTTGAACTACACTCTACGGAAACGTTACGTTGTAATTTATTAAGCTAACTAGTTTCCTGTTTTACTGTAGTTAAATCTGTTATATTTACGTAGCCACCTTTTTGTTTTCCTACGTAAGTGACGTTACGCAAACTAAAACAGCACTTCTGGTTAAACTTGTCAAAATAAACCAAAAACACTTTTTAGAACCACTACTGGACAGACCAGAACCAGAAAGTATTACGTTTAAAATTATTAAGCTAACAAACTACCTACTTCATTGTAGTTAAATCAGGTATTTATTTAGCTTTTATCCGTAGAGGTGACGTTACGTAAATTAAAATTGTACTTCCTGTTATATATGTCAACAACGTAAGGCCTCTACATTTACTGGACTGAGAAGTGGCCACGCCTTAAGTGATAATAAGATTATATTCAGAAAGCATTTGGCTTCCTGTTTCGTAGTAAAAAATAATAGTAGTCCGTTGTTACGTAGCTCGAATAAAAGCTTTTCTATCGGTGGTAAAAATCAATAAAAACAGCACTTCCTGTTAGAGCTGTCAGAATAAAATATCGATTGTCCAAAGACTAATACGTTTTTGAGCTTATATTGACCTCTGCTGGACTAATAAGCAAGCCTTGTGCTTAAGAGCATGGTTTACTGCAGATACATCTGTATTTTTTATTTTTTTACAGGAGCTTTTCGTTATAGCGATGAAAAGTTACACTTCCGGTTTTACGTGTCAAAACAAAAGTAGGCGCAACAGTCGCTAGTATGACGGTTAAACCACTGGAGTTTTAACATTTTAAGATTATTAATTTAGGTAATATTTTACAGTACGCTTTTACAGTGTTTTTTTTTTTATCCATTAGTGATAGAGTACAAAACATAAAACGGCACTTCCGGTTCTGGTTGCCAAATGAAAAAAAAAAAAACACATTTAACTAAATAAATATTAGATTAATAAGTAAACTCGAGTCAACCCTCTCATGCTATTTTCTTGTGCACCAAATTGCACACGCATACGACAGAGAGTCTTTGGAAAGAGTCTAGAAGTTAGCTTTTATTTTGAAAATACCCCATTACCGTAACATCTAGGAGTGGCGCGCGCAACAAAAGCGCCGACTCTTTGCAAAAGTGGAGGCTGGCTTGACTGTGGTGAATTAAATTAGTTGCTATGGTAACGGCGACTGCAATTTTCGATATGAATTTGCGGCGGATCGAGAGCTTCAAGGCTGCTGTGATGGCGACACCTGGTGGTCAACTGGAGTTACTGTACACCAACCTCACAAAAAGCACCGAAGCGCTCAGTGTTTCCATGTCAGTAATTAAAGTTTAGAAAATACTCGTGTGTTTTGTTCATTTGGTAATGGTTTTAACTGCATTGCAAATAAATGAAAAAAAAAAACCTTGTATATAGATCCACATATTTGCACAGATCCAGTTGCAGCCATAGATATCATATAAAATATAATATTTTGCAGCACTCGCCGTTTTAGACGCCATCTTGGTTTTTCTACTACGTCACAAATGGGCAGTGCGCCGAGTATGGCGCGTGACAAGTATTCTACTGCTCGTGCACTTTTAGCTAACGCTTTAATTAGCGTTAGCTAAGTAATGAACAAAAAACAAACACGTTTGGTTTAAACATACTCCTTAGCTGTTACATTATACAATTAAAGCACTGCAAACTTATTTTTTTTCTCTATTTATATAATTTAAAATGAACTGGGTCGGAGGTTCGAGGTAAGACTAAATAAAACTTTCTAATTAGCTATATGGCTAAAATTTGAGCTAACCGATTTATTTTTGTTTTTTGCTTACATTGCAGGAATCGTCTAGTGATGAAGAATGATGCCAAAAAGCAGAGAGTAAGACTGCCAAAATTAAGTGCTCACGACTTTTACACATGTTAATGTGTGAATGTGTGATTTTTTAATTATTTATTAATTTTTGTAGGAGTTTTTTGAGAAGAGAAAAATGCAACAGAGGCTGCAAAAGTTGGGGTTAACTCTGCCGCCATCCTCACCTGGAGGCATCAGCTGTGGGAGTACAGACCTGATGAATTTGTTTATTGTTAATCAAATTGCTACCAAGAAAGAAAATAAAGGTGAGATAACACACAAAAAAAAATCTAATCAGATGGAAATTGTGAGCCCAGTTTCTTTAAAAGGTTAATTTGAACCTTTTGTTTGTACAAAAGCTTTGGCAAATGGGATTCTGGGTATGTTTCCTATTTGCAATCAAAGCAGGATGTCACAATTCAAATTTGTTAACCAAACTAAATAGATATTTGTGTAGTGGATGTCCCCTTCCAGGAAGTAATTCAAGCGGCTGAGTCTGCCCTCCCATCTACTGCTCATCTACTTGCATACAACAAATATAACAGGATTAAAAAAAAAACTTCATTTTCTCAGAGAATGTAGCATGAATCCTGAAGGCAGACTTGATCTGAGTTGCAAATCCCTTAAAGAGTGTCAAACATTAAAACACAGCCTTTGAATTTAATTGTGTAGCCGGTGTTTGTCTTTTTCAGATCCTCCTAAAGTTTCGATTCTTGGAAGATTTAAAGGAAGGTCAAGAAGCCGCGGTAATGAGCCACTTGTGCTCCCAATGAGCCCCTGTTCCCCGTCGCAGCTGAGCCTCGTGGGGAGCCCGTCTCAGTGCAGGTAGAGCTGGAGAGCAGGTTGACAAATCCACTCAGAACAGACGGAGCTGTTGTTATTTTCATGGCTCACAGCATTCTGGTTATTGTATCTAGGGTTCAAGAAATTGGACAAAGAAAGAACGCTATTAAACGAAAGCTCAAGTGTCCACAGGTTAGTCACTCATATATTTAGGGGGAAAATGCAACCCAATGTTACATTATTTTAAGTCACATTTCCCCCCCAAGTTGTCCCCAGTAGTGGAGTCGGCGTTCTCAGACAACAGTGCATCTGATTACCTGCCTCCTGTGACCGACCAGCGCAGCCTAACTTCATCTGGCTCTTCAGGACAAGGTTTCACACAACAAGCCTTCGTAACTCTGCGTTCTCGTTTTTTTAAATAACTAATTTAGTCTTTTGTCTTCAGGGATATTCCCACTGCAGATGAACCGACAGAAACAAAGCCGTAGTCAGTTGCAGCTTCCTTGTTTTTCTCCTCCACCGTGGGACACCCCAGAGCAGCACAGTCAGGTAGCACAAAATTCTTTACGTTTTATAACCACAAGTTTTATTTTAAAACTTGGGTATGAAAAGCAGTGGGTTACCATGGCAATGATTGACAGATACTAAACTACAAAAGATCACAACGCTTCAAGATTTCATATTCAGTTCCCAATTAAATTCATGGAAGGAAACAAATAAAAGGTGTAAACTAGGAGAACTCTCAAAAGTTCCAAGGCGGTGTGCTTACGGCTCGGAGTTTGCACTTAATGTGATTGTTTTAAAAGATGGATGCTAAAAGGATTACCAACCTGCCACTCTTTCATCCACAAAGGGGCCTTTTCAAGTTTTGAGACCCTGCAGAATTAACAAGGTTTAGTTCAGAATGACTTTTACAGATATTTGCAGGTGAGACGCTGTTTTCATCAAAACCTTAGAGAAGTTTTTGAAAAGACTGATTCGGGCTTTTTGCAGATGTTTATGTCCCTAATCAAGTTTAAGCCACAGAAGAACACTATATATAAGTTATACAAAGGAATCCAGCAAAGTAAACAGGACAACACTGACAATATAAAGACAAGTAAGGAAATATGATCATCTCAATGGAGAGTTGGACCAAAATATGCAAACTACAATGGACAACTACAGGGTCTAACACATGGCGAGAGTTCAGCTGGCGGAACATAATTAGATACTTTATCACTCCCATCCAAAAACGTCATCAAGGTAGTGGAGATGCATTCTGGAGACAGTGTGGGATCAGGGGTGCCAATCACTTCCACATTTTCTGGGGCTGCCAAGCTATATAGAGATTTTTGAGCACGTTAATAATGTATTTGGAGCTAAAATTCCCTTCAAACGTGAAACTGTGTACTTGGGTGATGCACCTGTGTCTAACTGGAATGAGGGAGATAAAAGATGACTGAATATATATACTGTATATCTAGTTGCAAGCAAGAAAGCTATCACTAGAAAATGACTGGATAAACATAACGCATGAAATATTTGTAAGGATGCACAATATTATCGTCATGGTATCGGTATCGGCCAATATTAGCGTTAAAATTAAATATTAGACATCGGCCATTCCATCAAAATAACTCACTGATAAGACAACCCAGTGACGAGGATGACTGCAGCGGCAGCACAACGTGATGACGTCACGCGCGCTAGAGTTGCACTCGGTTCCAAATAATTAACCTGACTCGGCCCCAGCCCGTAGCCATCATCTCCGAACCCCACCCGATCCGACGAATTAACAGTAATTACAGGTCCAAACCCGGAAACCCCCCAACATTTTTAATTAAGCTTTGACTAATTATACCATCAACTATTATTAACGGTTGACGGACGAGCGCGACTGAGGGGGCAGAAGATCAGAGCTGAAGAGCCCTCAAGGCGCATTAAATGCTTCCCCTGCTTCTGCCTGCATTGAACCCTGCTTTGACATGTCGGATATTTTGTGATCTCACCTGTTTGGGTCGTCGGCTGAGTGCAGCGGCTGAATGAACGTCCGTTGGTTGGATCGCTGGCAGTAGTCCATCTGAAGCTTAACTGAACTTTTTACCTCTTTCAACCGGCTGGTCAGCGCGCGGTCAAATGGCCACGTGCGGCAGATACAGTATGGCAAGCCATATTTGCAGATATTGGATCGTCGGCTGCGCACGTTCCTGACGCAATAAAAAGCCTGACACCGACCCGGCCCACACATTAAGCACATTATTATGGCCCGGCCCAGTCCGAAGCTGGTTTGGGTG